TCCTGCCATCGTGGCAGTAAGGAAAGAATATCCGAAAGGATTAGTCGATAGGTAACTTTTGATACCTGAAATCACATTCACGACAATTTGGTAACCTAGGGAGTTGAGTTTATTCAAATACCCTTAGCCCCTTTACCCATCAAATTGCCTAAGCTCAAGCTTAAGTTAGCCATCTTAGGCATTTCTAGCAAGTGGTTCTAAAAGTATAGTAAGGATAATGAGGCTAAAAACCTAGTTTTGAGAAAGACAAAATAGAAATAAATACGTAGCAGATTGGAGAAAGACTTGGCCTCTACTCATTCAAACCAACTTATTCTTTTATGTTCCAATTGTCCATTTTTGTAGCACACCTGAATTTAAAGCCGAACTCCAAGCCCATTACACTATGAAATAAAGGTTTGGTACACTCACAATCCCATGAGCACCAACTCTCTATATCTAGCATTTGCATGCTAAATGGTGTTAGACGGTGTCTCGAACAATTTTGGCAAACCGATGGCATAACATGAAGAGGGTACCCCACTGATTAAAGTAACATGGAGTTTGGGCTTAGACCTAAGTTAAATGTAAAACAAAAAGCGATACAACCTAGCAAAAGACAAACTAATGTCTCAAGTGAATATGCATTCCAACCACTATCCCTATTATACATTTGGAACCCTCTATAACCCCTTCCCCCTAGGAACAGAACTAACAAATGGGACATGATAGTGAAGGACACAGTAAATTATCATATAGAGGGACTAGACTCAATACATGAAGGACTAGATTTAATACTTAATTCTTGCCAAATCAGTGCAAGACAAAGCAAAAGAAAATTAAGAGCTAAGCTAGGAATGCTCAACTAAAAACATATAGAAATTCCTACTTTATATTCATTTAGCTAAGTACAAATGCTAAACCCAATTTACTAACACTTGAATAAGAAGGACTACTGAAGGGAACCAATAGTACTGACTTCTTGCTATCATGGCAATAAGGAAAAAGTGTCTGTAAAGATTAATCGACAAACATCTTTCAATACCCAAAGTCACATTCACAACAATTTGATAAATTAAAAAACTCCACAAAAGTATCATTTCAATTGTGACTTTATATTGGGATCTGAAATATAGAATGTGGCCTTAGAACTTCCTACAAAACACAGTAAATCTCCTTTAGGACTATGACTATCTAGTGCACCAGTTGGACTGATGTTCAAAAAAAACCAGTCAACAATAGATCACTTTGAAGCACAAAGTTGGGAGGAAGACAAAATAACTTATCCTTGATATGACTTTAAGCATAGTCTTCTGAAATTGCATGTGGCAATGCAGGATGGCACCAGTCAGCTTGGATCAAGCAATCACGCTCCATGAGCTTGTGGCTCCAGCAGATTGAAACGGCAGCCAAGTGCCTGAAATCATGCCGGATGTCCAAATGCCACCAAGAGATCCAGCATCCAGCCGCCAAACGTCTTCTCCACAACGGCACAACAAGATGGTGGAGCGAGACGTGGTGTGGTGGACGGGATGGTGGGTGCCACTACGGGCATCTATCATGCGCTTTCCACAATCATCAACAGAAGCTCTTAGCTGAAGTATGGCTTTGACAGAGTTTCTTGGGACTTATTTTGCGCCTTGGTCTTCACCTCACAACCCCTGTGATTTGCAGACAACCTCAAAGCACTACATGGGCATCTACCACACACTTTCCACAATCCATCAACAAGAGAGCTTTCTTGGCCTTGGCCAGAGACCCTTAGCTTACAGGCCTACGCTTTGTAAAGGCCAATAGTGGAAGCGTGGAGTTTTGAATATAGAGGATTACAAAGCGTCCGCCAGAGCCCCTTGTAAAGGCCAAGAAAGCTCTCTTGTTGATGGATTGTGGAAAGTGCGTGCTAGATGCCCAAAGGACGTACCAAAGGGGGTACGTTCTTCAAGAGCTTATTGTTATTTTCTCCCTGCAAAACGCGACTCGTGCCAGTCCGTAGGCCCAAACGATTGTGATAAACTTCTGCATGTACGATACTCTCTACAACTACTGGAACGCTTAAAGGTGGATTTTTTCTTAGTTTCAAGTCCTTGGAGCATGTTTACTTTAAGGCCCGAGTGGTGACTTGATCTCCGGTGGAGTAGCAGGAATTGCTGCCTCAACAGGTAAGAGTCTTAAGATCGATTACGTTTGATTGCCATCGTTCCTGTTTTCAGCGGTGTTTCCGATCGATTTGGTAAAGAGAAGGATGCAACTCGAGGGCGATCGGAGATAGACACCGGCTTACAAGCCTGGGGCACATTGTTCTCACCCAAGGCTACGCTGGGTTGTACAGGGGGATTTTGCCCGAGTACCTCAAGGTTTTTACGGGCGGGATTGTGGCGAAGGAGAAGAGGTTGGTCCCCGATTCATTTCCAACTGTCAGATATTCTTGAATCGACGGCCTTGGTTGAATTTCCATGTTGCTAGCAAATATCTAGGGTTCTTGCGATGGATGGGAAGAGTTCGCGGCTTGGCGACAGCAGCGATTCGATGCGCCGCACCAGCTTCGGCAGCGCCGCCGCGGGCGCCCGATCAGCAGGCGGCTGCTCTGGTGTCGGCGCTGAAGGTATGTGGCAGCATAAGGGATTTGCGCAAGGGCAAGGCGATCCACGCCCAGGCGGTGGAGAGCAAGCAGCTGGGGATCCATGTCGTCAATGCGCTGGTGGACATGTACGCGAAATGCGGCAGCATGGAGGATTCCCGCCGCGTGTTCGACAGCATTCTTCACCCAAACGTGATGTCCTGGAACGTTTTGATGCTGGGCTACGTCTCCAATGGCGAGAGCGATGTGGCTCTGGATCTCTTCGAGAGGATGCAAGCCAGGCGGTCGGGCTGCAAGCCAAACTCCAGGAGCTTCATGGCCGCGTCCAAGGCTTGTAGCAGCCTCGCGGCGAAGGAGGACGCTGTTTTGGTCGATGGGAAGCTCGTCAAGGAGGCAAGTCTCGAGACCGGCAGAGGCATCCATTCTCAAGCCAAGCAGATGGGACCGTCTTGCAGCGAAGACGTTTTCCTCTCGAGCTCACTGATCGATATGTACTCCAAGTGCGGCAGCATGCTCGATGCTCGATCGGTCTTCGATGAGATGCCACGGCGAGACGTGGTCTCCTGGAACGCTTTGATACTGGGCTACGTAGAGAATGGAGAAAGCGAGGTTGCTCTCGAGTTCTTTGGGAAGATGGACTGCTCGCCAAACTCTCGGACTTTCGTTGCTGCTGCCAAGGCCTGTGCGAATCTAGCAGTGAAAGAGGAGGCCACTCAAGAAGATGGAAAGATGGTGAAGACGAGGAGCCTGGAGAAGGGGCTCGCTGTTCACGCTGGAGCTATGGCAAGCCACTGCTGTGGAGATATTTTCGTGGGGAGCAGCCTCGTGGACATGTACTCGAAGTGTGGGAGCATGGCCGACGCGCGGATGGTTTTCGAGAGCATGCCTCGTCGTGATGTCGTGCTCTGGACGAGCTTGATGCAAGGCTTTGTGGACAACGGGGAAAGCGAGCTGGCTCTCGTGTTCTTCGAAGATATGAAGCTATCCGGGTGCTGTCCAAACTCTCGAACGTATGTTGCTGCGCTTGCCGCCTGTGCGAGCTCGGCAATGCGAGAAGAAGCGGTGGATGTCGACGGGAAACTCGTGAAGAGAAAGAGCTTGGAAACTGGGGTGGCTATCCAGGGTGAAGCTTCAAACAACAGGTGCTGTGAGGACGTGTTCGTGGGGAACACATTGATCGATATGTACGCGAAGTGTGGGAAGCTAGAGGAAGCTCGCAAGGTCTTCGATGGCATGGCTGGCCGAGACGTGGTTTCGTGGAACGCAATGATCCAGGGATCTGTTGGAAGTGGAGACAGCAAGCTGGCCTTGGAGCTGTTCTTCGGCATGGAGAACGATCCGGACGAGAGAACGTTTATTGCTGCGCTCATGGCCTGCGTCCATCTTTCAGCGTCCGAACAACCTGTTCCGCGAGAAGATGGAAAGCTACTGCGAATCCAGAGCCTAGAAAAGGGGATGGAGATTCATTCTCTCGCCACGAAGCTTGGATGCTGTGAGCACAGATTTGTCGGGAGCAGCTTGGTGGACATGTATGCCAAGTGTGGAGATATGGTGAAAGCTCGAGCAGTTTTCAAACGCATGCCTAGCCGGGACGTTGTCGTTTGGACGAGCTTGATCCAGGGATATGTAGACAACGGTGAGAGCGAGCTCGGGCTGGAACTCTTGGAGAGCATGGACTGTGCTCCAAACTCTCGGACTCTTGTAGCGGGACTTACGGCCTGTGGGAACGTTGGGTCCAGTGAAGCTGGAAGGAAAATCCAGGCTGAGCTTTACAGGCGTGGGCTGGAAGACGACCAAGTTGTGGGGACGTGCATGGTAAACTTCTACGGGAAGTGCGGAGTTATGAGTGCGGCCGAGCACTTGTTTGGATCTCTGGCAGTCCGAGATATCGTCGCCTGGAATGCAATGATCACAGGATTCGGCCAACAGGGCGACACGTCGCGCGTGTTCGAAGCCTTTCGCGAGATGCGAGAAGATGGCGTGCGAGCAAATGCGATCACGTTTGTCTCGGTCATCACTGCTTGCAGCCACGGCGGCCTTGTTGAACGAGGCAGGGAGTTTTTCCAGGCAATGGACCCTGACTCTGGCATTGTTTGCGGAATTCATCACTACAGCAGCTTGGTGGATCTCTTCGGGCGTGCAAACCGACTGGAAGAGGCCGTGAAAGTCCTCGAGAGCATGCCTTTGAGAGCGGACGCTGTGGTTTGGAGGAGCGTCCTCGGGGCCTGCCGTAAGTGGAAGAACGTGGAAGTGGGGAGGATAGCGTTCGAGGCACTGACGAAGATCGACGAGAAAGACTCGGCTGCGTACGTTCTGATGGCGAGCATCTACCGGAGCGCGGGGCTGTGGGAGGATCATGATAAGCTCAAGACTATACAGGAGGCGGCCTTGAAAGCGGATAGGAAGAGTTTAAGGATTCATCTACGAGCAGATTGATCTTCATCAAGCGGTCACACGCTCGATGCTGTTGTATTACGAACTGGAAGCTAGAAAGGACGGCAGCAACATGGTGGACGACCTAGAGATTCGATTGCCAGCATCCACAGAGCTGGGAACCAGCTTTGTGGGTTGCCGCAAAGTACACAGGAAAGTCCAGAAGAACGCGTAGAAGAAGGCTGCCACGAAGATGGCGACGCTGACAAGTGTTGTCACGCCTCCTTGGTCCTGTTCGCTACCACCTTCTCCGTCTCTTCTAGGCCTATGCGGCGGCGTAGCAGTGCTCGAACAGGTGTTGATCAGTGGCAACCCACAGAGCTGGTTCCCAGCGAAGAGAGCCGCGTCCATGGACGAGAGTTGCGGGCTGTCAGGTATCCGTCCCACCAGGCTGTTGTTGGAGACGTCGAAGATGGTGAGAAACGAGAGGTCCGCCACGGACGATGGTATGGAGCCATTCAGACGATTGCTCGCGAGCGCCAACCTGGAGAGATTCCTTGCGTTTCCCAGGGACTCGGGAATGGGGCCGGTTAACTGGTTGTGGCTCAGGTCCAGCACCTGGAGATTGTAGAGGTCGCCGATGGCCGCCGGAATGCTTCCACTCAGCTGGTTGGAGGAGAAGTCTATGGTTGTTGGGAAGGCGAAGCCAGCATAGACGAGGCTTTGCGCGTGAACCAGCGGGTAGGTGGTGCTCATGTTGTAGAGCTGGACGTTGGCAAACAGTCGGCCGATGCTTGCGGATATCTCGCCCGAGAACCTGTTAAGCGAGAAGTCCATGGCTCGTAAGTTCCTGAGCCGGGGAAGCCAGTCCGGGATGGAGCCGCTGAAGCTGTTGTTCGAGAGGAAGAGGAACTGCAAAGTCGAGACGTTTTGCAGCATGGCCGGGACTTTTCCAGAGAGGTTGTTCGATCCAACGTCGAGGCCGATCAGCGAGCTCATCTTGCCGTAGGAGGCCGGGATGGGACCGACGAGCTCATTGCCGGAGAGCGAGAGAATGAGCAGGCGGCTCAAGTTCCCGAAGCTGTCCGGGAGATTTCCAGAAAACTTGTTCTGCTCCAGCCAGAGAACAACCAGCTCCGTGCAGTTGGAGAGTCCGGAAGGGAGCTCCCCACCGATGTCGTTGCCATTGAGAACTAGCTGCTGGAGATGCGAGAGCTTCGAGAGCTCGCCTGGGATGGTTCCAGTCAAGTCATTGCCGTTGAGCCATATCTCTCTGATGTTCGAGCAGTTTCCAAGCTCCGGAGGTATAGAGCCACTGAAATGATTCCTCAAGAGAACCAGCAGCCTCAAGTTCGTCAAGCTTCCCACCCTCGCTGGCACTGTCCCGTTAAACAAGTTTTGCGAGAGGTGCAAAGTCTCGATGCTCGCAAAGTCGCCATCTTCCAGCTCCAGTGGCCCGGAGAAAAAGTTGATTCCAGCGCTTAAAACCGAGAGCTTGTGTAGCCTTCGCAAGCTCGGCACCCTGGAGCGAATTGTTGGAGATATCCAAGTACCTGAGCTCCAAGTTCTTGCTCCAGATATCAGGTAGATCTCCACTAAACCTGTTATACGATATGTCCAGGCGCGTCAAGTTCGTCATCTCCCCGAAAATCTCTGGAATGGAGCCGCTGAGTTCGTTGTGCGAGAGCTCCAGTGCCTCCAGTCCCAGATTACCTCCCATGGAAACGCTCCCAGTCAAGTTGTTGATGGACAGGTTGAGCGATTGCAGCGTGAAGCTAAACTTTGGAACTCCAGCCACTCCCAAGAAGTTCCCACTGAGGTCCAAGCTTTCCAAGCTCTCGAGGCTGGAGAGGTTTGCTGGGACCTCTCGCAGAGAATTGGAGCTCAAGTTGAGGAGCTTGAGCTGTGTGTTCTTGCAACCAGCCACCTCCAGCGAGGAGATGTTATTTTGTGAGAGGTCCAAGCGAGCCAGCGATGGAAGCTTGGAAGGAAGAACTCCCGAGAGATTTAACCTGGACATAGCGAGGCCCTCCACTCGGTTGTCCGAGCTCCACTCCACACCGCGCCATGCTCTTGGATTGGCGGTCTCGTTCCACACTTTGATGCCAAGCCTGTCACCGAGAGAGAGCAGAGTCTGTGTGTCGTTGGCGATCCCGGATGGATTCGTGGGGCACTGCGACCGAGATGTTGGGAGAAAGACGAGTAGAAACAAACCCAGCAGCAAATTGGAGAGATACATGGCCGATACTTCTTATTCAAACCAACTTATTCTTTCATGTCTAGTAATCTATTCATCCAGAGTGCAGTCGTCGATGAAAGACCAGGAAACTCCACAAGCTATCATCAAAGATGAACGCTCAGGAATATAGAATGTGGCCTTGGAACTTCTTTTGATTCGGACCGTGACTTCACCAGTTGGACTGGACCGACTGATGTTCAAGGAAAACCAAGTCAACGAGAACCTAGAAAACGTTGAAACGCTCGTGCGAGATCAAGGAGTCCGACCGAAGTTATCTGACAGTTGTTGTCCAAAGGACTTGGCGTGTTTTGTTACAAGGTTATTTTATGTGAGTTTTGCATTTCAGATTCGTGGAGACGACCTTTTAGAAGCCTTTCGAAAGCATTTGAGCAGAACAAAAATAAATTACCTATTGGAACTCTGCTCGGACGGCTCTGAGATCCATCAATCTCTTCTTAAGCGATTCCAGGACGCGCACCACCAGTCTCTTCTTCGTCAGCCTGAACTGTACCGCGATCCTGCTCGTCTCCGCCAGGGATTTGTCCGAGAGCTTCGCCTCGTCCTCCTCGATGGTCGTCTTGAACTGGTTGAAAACGATTGCTGCCAGGCCACAGAGCGTTCGCAGCACTCGCTCCTCGTTGTCACTGCTCACCATGCTCTCCACCCCCCAAGCTTGTAACGAGACGAGCTCTCTGCGCTCGAGTGGCTCCTGGCTCTCGGCATGGAGGATTCTCAGCGCTGCCAGCAACCGGCCATCAACCTCCTCCGGACCTCCAAGCGTCACCTACACATCAAAACAATGAGTTCTAGCTACTTCTTTTTCTCGCAGAGAGTAGCTGTGAACCTTTTGTGATTCTCCACTATCAGCGAGACCAAGTTGTTTGAGCCGGTCCACTTGCCAAGAAGCCGGAGATGAAAATGGTGGCGAGCCCGTACGACTCAAGCCCGCTATCATCCTGGCGTTCTCCATCAAGCTCCCATCGTACCTCAGCTCGATGCGATCGTGTGGATTGTCAGGGATGACAAAACCGTAGTCTAGCAAAAGCAGATCATTGCTGAGCGGGCCATAGTTTAGAGTGATCGCTGATCCCTTCTCCAAGTTACGTTTAGTCACCACCTGAAAGAAAAACACGAGTTAAATGATTGATGTGTTTGGAAGGTAGAGAACAAGGAACGACGAACCTTCAAGAAGCTGACATCCTGAGCATCTCTCGACAAGTCCTCCTCGATGTGAGCATTCGGCTGGAAGCTATGATTGCACATATCAATCAGAGGAAGCATCATTGCCGAGCAAAGCTTGTTGGTGACACCGTGAATCCGGAAAGCCCGGCTCGAGACAGCAGCCATTGCCCAGCCGAGCGCTCCCGAATCAACAGACTGACCAGCAAAAGGATGAACTTCTTCCGGCAGTGATTCTAGCTTGGCCAACTCGGCGGAGAACTGCAAGAGAAATCGGCACCTCTTTTTCACCTGAAAGAGAAAGGCAAAAATGCGATTGAGATTTAAATCCAGATAGCAAAGTTGACTCACTTGATGTGTAACAGGTGCGTAGTCGATGCTCTCAATGTCTACTCCAGAGAAAAAAATCGGAAGAGTGAAAGAGTGTGGAAGCATGCTGATATATGGCCACCAGTAAGATCCTTTCTGAGCTCTTTCATACAAAAGCTTGAGGCCCAGCCTCATTGCCCAAAGCTCCTCTATCAGTTCCTGGCAAGACGAGGTCAGTACCAGCGAAACAGGAAAGGAAAAAAAGAACTTTAAGGTCGACTAGGCCTACCTGGAACTCGATTAGCAATCTCGCAAATCACTCCCTCCGATGGCGCTAAAACCGCAGCATTCTCGGGATCAGGCATCGGCATTGGAACTCTTCGCGGCAGAGTGATTATCGTGGAACCCTGAGGCAAATCCTGAGTCGCCACAAGCCCCATACCGTGAGAAGATCCACTGTGAACGACATGGAGGCCGCTCCACACAAATCCCCCCTGATTCTTCACCCAGCCCCGGAGATCCACACTGGCAGCGAAGGCCGAGGCCGCGGAGCTCCAGCGCCTCGCGCCGTGGACCGGCATTCTCGCCCTAGCGCCTGGCGCCATCGCCTGGGAGCAGCAAAGAACCACCACACCTCTCATTTTCAAAACCCCCCTAAAAACCTAAAGTCTTGGATTTTGAGCTGGAAGAGGAAGCGCGCCCAAAGGTATGTATGTTCTTCCGCGCCCTGGCGCCGATCCTCGCCTCGATCGATCGCATCCTATCCATCGCTTGCTCGCATTCTTTGCCATCAGATGGAGGACGATAGCAAGCGGAAGTGGGACGATCTCTCCGGAGACGAAGGCGCTTCCGAGGAGGACGACGATCTGGACAGTGATGACGAGGAGATGGCTGGAAGGGCCGCGTATGAGAAGCTCCTTCCAGAGGCCAAGGATCAAGTAGGAGATGCCAAGCCCAGCCTCAAGGACATGGAGATCAAGATTTGCTGCGTGTGCCGCGCCAGGGTCACTGGTTGGGTGGGTCTTATGGCTCACGCCAGGACCTTCAAGAAGAAGTACGTGGCTCAGCATCGCGGCTATCACAAGGCCCTTGTGGAGGTGATCGATCCCAAGCCGCAAGATCGCGGGAAGAAAGTGGAGCTCGCCGAGGCCCGGGTGAGCTCCAGGGTCTTGCTCGAGGATCACAAGAAAGTGGTCTGGCCGCCGGTGGTGCTTGTGGATTGCTCGAGCGTGGAGCAGGCTCGGAGCTTGATCGAGGAGAGTGTGATCGATCAAAGTAAGTGCCAGTGTTTTCTTTTCTCTTTTCATTCCTAACTGGTCTTCTTGCTTTAGTTGAGAGGGTCTGCGAAGGATTTCTTGTTGTCTGCAAGAAGATCCCTCTCGCTTTGACGCTGCTGCGCTGCTTGATGGAGCCGTGTAAGGTGCTCCAGCCGGAAGACATGGCGCGGATTGATCCGGAGAGAAAACTGGTAGACTGGTGCGCTATGAGTTTGGATGAAGCTGCTAGCTACATGAAGGATCTCAACATGGTGCGAGCTTCACTTTCTTCTTGTTTCTGCTTTTATAGCTCCTTTTGTTCTCTGTGTCAGGATGACGAAAAACTTGCTGACAACGTGAAGGCTCAAAAGCTTCAAAGCTGGAAGCTCGAGGTCGCCCAGGGGAAGACAACTTCGCTGAATTCGAATCTAGCGAGCTTGCTGAAGCTCCGTGAGGACAAGCTGACGGAGCTACGACAGAGACACCAGCCCGGTGATAATTCTGAGGCTCTTAAGGTGACAAAGACTCTCTCTTTGGTTTTCTTACTTTGTTGTCTTGTAGCTCGAGATCCAGCGAAAAATGCAGCTCTTTGAGGAGCAGCTGAACCACAAGGAAAAGCAAACCGCACATCAAATGGTTTTGAGGAGAGCCAAGATGGTTAGGCAAAGAAACGAAGCTCTCAAGCAGAAACAACATCTGGAGCGATTGCTGCGGAAGCAAGCCAAACAAACGTGAGTTCTTTTTTTTTTCTCTCCCTCTCTTTTTCTCGATTCGCGATCAACATCCGCTGCAGCTCGGAGAAAATGGAGCAGCTGAAAGGCAAGCAACAAAGGGATGAGGAAGAGCAGCGCAAGTGTTTGGAGAAAATTGAATCGGACTTTCGGGGTGAGGAGTTAATGCTTATCACACAACACGAAAATGAGCTCAAGCAGGTGAATTGACTTCGTAGCTTGCCGAGATTTGATTGCTTTTCTTTGTCAGCTCCAAGAGGCGGTGGAGAAAGAGACGAAAATGGCACTGGACGAGCTGCTGGATAAACAAAAGCGGGCCAAGCAAGAGCAACAGAACTCTCCAAAAGTGAGTCGCTTGCCAACACTTAAAATTTCTCATTTCCCGTGTGGTTCCTTCGCAGGAATGCATTGTTTGCACGAGGCAGTTTTCATCGGAGCTAAGGAGGGCAGTTCTCGTCCCATGCGGCCACTACACGATGTGCATCGAATGCTGCTCGGGAATCTGGAACCTCCGCAAGCCAAAGTGCCCCGCAAAGTGTCCCGTCTGTCGTATGGTGATCGAGCTCAAGCCCGAGGTCACCTACGAGTGAGCAACGTACAACATCAAGGTCGGGTATTAGCCTCTTTTCCAGAGCGTCTTCTTCACTATTGAGCTCAGCCTCTCTTTCATTTAAGCAGGAAAAGTCTAGCGAGACAACTATCGAAACTTACAGAAGTTAAACAAGAACAGGAAAATTCTAGCGAGACAACTTTCGGAACTTAGAGAAGTTTAGCAGAGATATATGATATAGTCCGGTCGGTCCCCCGACAAATTTTGTACACTCCAACACTACTATTCTCTAGCTTATAAAACCATGGAAGATCCCCCAAATGCTTTGCACCAAAAAGTTAAAGCCACTATGCATAGTTCCAAGTTCTTGTTGATCCTGAAAAAAGCCTTGATTCAGAAAAGCTCCAACTTACCGGAGTATAATGTACGTATGGTAGATAAATATCAGTCGAAGAGCTTGATAGGCTTCTTGTTCTGGACGGTCCGGCAGTGGGGACACTCGTGGTTCTTCTTCCACAGCTCGTCCGCACACGGCTGGCATGACTTGGCATGCTTGCAGGTGATGTAAAACACCTTCGGCCTTTCGGGGCCAAACTCTTCGAAACAAACCTGGCACTCCTGGAAAAAAAAGTTTGGATAAAGAAGCATTAGAACAAAGTTATGCTTTGATCACAAGATGAAGAGACTTACAAGCCCAAGGACGGTCTCCATCTCCTTGTCCAGAGCTTCCTGGCCGACGTTGTAGCTGTTCCACGCTGCCTCCTTCTTTGCAGCGCGCTCCTCCAGGAGCTTTGCAACGCACAAAGAAAAACCTGCTTTAGGAAAAAAGGAGAAATACAAACTTGCTTACCTTCTTCCTCTCCTCCAAATGCCGCTCTTTCATCTCCCGCAACTTGAACTCATGCCTTGTCTTGATTTCGTCAAGGCCCTTCTGCGCTTCGGTAGCAATAGCCACTTGAGTTCTAGCGCGCATGTCTCTGCAAGGATACGAAACATTCACAGTGAGCGAGATAGACCAGAGAATGCTTCTTACGCCATAGCCAAAGCTTGCTGCACTCTAATATTACTCTCCAGAGACGAGTTCTCTCGACGAATGCGAGCCATCTCATCTTCTTCGTCTTTGAGGTTCTTGTTGATTTCGGCGCGCATATTCATCTCTTTCTCGGTGAATTGCCTCAATCGCTCGGCCTTCTCCGCTTCAAACTGGTCTATCATCCGCTTTTTCTGTCACAGAGATACATACGACCGCATCAGAATACGAGAAGAAACGAAAGAAATGAAATGGACAAAGCACTGCCTACTTGTTCTTCGTGCCTTTTCCTATTCTCCTCCTGCCGGCGCTCCTCGGCAGCATACTCCTCGTCCACGGCCATAATCTCTGCCTTGCGCTTGTCCATGGCAGCCTCATCGGCCGCCAATTTTCTCTTTTGCTCGTTCACCGATGCTAGCAGCTCGGCTTCAATCTTCTGGTTCTCCTCGCTAGCCTGTAAAGAAATCCTTTCATCAAGCTCATACTTGAAGAGAAGAAAAGAAGCGGCCTTCCTCACCTTCATCTTCTCTCGCTGCGACTTCATCACTTTCTCTTGGAAACTCTCCTCCTTCCAGTTCCTCACCAGTCTTTTCTTCCTGTCTAGCTTCTTCATCTCGTGCGGCTCCACCAAGTATCCATAGAGCTCCTTCTTCTTCTCGCCATAGCGGACCTCCTGCCGCTCGTCACGCCCCCACTCGTCACGCCCCCTCTTGCGATCCTTGAACGCATCATGGAGAGCCACCGCGTCAATGTACCCAGCGTCGCAATCCGGGAAGACGACGAGGTAGCGGCCCTTGTGCCCTTCCTCCTTGTACACGGGAACAACCCTGCGGATCGCGATCTTGGGCGCCACTGCGCTCACAGCACTTCTTACCTCCGCGGCATTGAGGCCGATGCTCTTCCCAGTCTCCGGATCATGCCCCAGCCCCGTATTTTCCAGCAGCACGCACGGCGGCCACACGATGAGCTTGTCCGCGCCGTAGCTGTTCGAGAGGAAGCAGCGAGATCGATCGATCGATCGATCTCAAACAAGACAAGAATCCAGAATCATACCTTGCCTGCATTCTTCCAGAACGATCGCGCGCGTATTGCAAGAATGCCCCGATGCTGCTCGATCGTCTTAGATTCTAGGAACTCTCCCTCGCTCCCTCTAAAATCCCCTAAGGAATCGTTTAAACCCTAAACAAAATTATTGCTACTGGATATTCTCGATTCAAACGATAGTAAGCACTTAATATATATGAAGCTAACCTCAAAACGTTTTCGTTACATTTTACGTGCTTTCAAGGGTCCTCCAAAAGAGAGAAAAATAAGATCGTCTTCCCACTCCTAAGTAGTTCTCTATTACCACGCTGAAGCAGTCCAATTTCCATCCTAAACAGCCAAGAAAAAAAAAATGAGAGAATTTTCGGCAATAAACTTGAGAGGAGCTTTCACAGTACTTGTTGCTGATAAGCTTGAGGGTACCCAGCGTAGCTTTGTGCCGTTTGCGGCTGCTGGGGATAGCTGCTATAGTTATAGTCCGTAGCCTGCGAAGAGTTTCTATGATTTGTAAGAAGCGTGACAATGAAACCAAAACGTTCTTACCGGGTATGCTTGGCTCCATTGTTGTTGAGGTTGCTGCCAGTTTTGGTAGCTCCACTGCGCTTGTCCATTGGTATAACCAGCGACGGCGTTGGAACCGGTCTTGACGAGCTTGCTCCGATCAGAGACGGCGCTGTCCAGTGACGAGCGCTTCTTGGAATCGCTGGACCTCGAGTACAAGAATGCCTGTCGATGCCGCAGCTCAGCCCTCTTACAGTCTTCTACAGTCCCATAAGAATCCAGAAACTGCCGCAAAAACCATACTACAAATGTGAGTGCTTACGATAAAGGAGTAAGAAGTCACAACCTCAAGAAATAAACTCGATATCTCCTCACGATCAGATGATTGCAAAGCAGCGTCCGAGCCGCTGCTGAGTATAGCACGTTCAATGATAGCCTCGAGTTTTGGTATGTCCTTCTCGGGAGAGAGTGTCTCAAAATGGATCGCAGCCTGTAAAGAGATTTCAGCGAGTATACCAAATGAGAAGAAAAAGAAAAGGAGAAAGAAACTTACCTCCAAGATAACTTTGGAGTTCGGTAGTTTCTCCAATGCAAGGGCCAAGATCTCCTTCGATTTATCTGAGAGTCCGGCCTAGAACACACACTGTCAGAAAGGAAAGCATCAGAAGTTCTCACCTCAGAAAGGAACCGGATATATTGAATATACAAGAAAGACAAAACTCTCGATTCCTCCTTCGCTTTTTCCACTTCCAAAGCAGATTCATAGATGGCACAAGCGCCGTCAATATTCCCCTAGATTACAAAAATACGCTTAGCATCGTATGAAAAATGGGACAAATCCATGTACCTGTCTTTTCTCAAAATTTGCGTGCTTAGAAATAACCTCAAGAAGCCCGGGAGCTATTTCAGAGCTGAGAACGCTATACTCTTTTCGAGCGCCTGCAGCATCTCCCCTGCGTTCTTTAAATCTAGCAGCGTAGATATGTATCTCGGGTCGTCTCTGCAATACAGAAGATGTCAGAAAAGAACGTAGAACTCTTCGATAAACCTTGACAAAAATGTGTAGTGCGCGATCCAAAGCATCATCAGCTATCTCAGATCGAGATTTTGCTTCCATTGTATGAATATAGCGAATCCAATACTCCGGATAATTTGCACAGGCGATCACACATCTCTCGTATGCCTTCACTATCTGCAATTAAAATACATTAGTTTCAGCGTCAAGTAGGGAAAAGACTGCATTACCTTGTCAAAGTCACCTTCTTTTTCCAGAAAATCCAAATAGCGATGCCAGTTGAGTAGTTGCAAGTCATCTAGAGGCTTGACATGAAAATACGGCCTTCTTATAGCGGTTTCATACTCTCGAATTTTTGCATCCCACTCCTTCGTCGATTTATATAGCTCCTCTCTTCTTCTAATAAACCTTTCAACTTCTGGATCCTTTGGGGCTTCTGCAGTTTCATCAGCTCCTGCTTTATCTATTTGCTCGGGAACAGTATTATCGGCTTCTGCGCTATCTTCAGGACCTTTCAGTTCCGCTATGGGTCGATTGTTGGCTAACTCCTTGAAGCTGAAAGAAAACATTAGCATGCAAACTGTTTTAAGGATTTTCTTACTGTGAGAAGTAGCGATCCAAAGCTTGAAGGGCTATCTGTAAAATCCGTGTATACAACTGAGTGATGCCTACCCAGTTCGAATGAGAATACTCAAAATCAATGTACTTGTCCCAAAGCTGATGCGCCAGGTAGTCGGTGCCGACGTGCGAGAGTCCACGCTCAAACAACCTGAAAAAAAATTAAAAAATGAAAAAGATAGTTGTTATCCCATCGAAGTTGATAAAGGAAGAAAAAAAAACGTAAACGTAGCATGAGCCTGACCCCATCAAAGAAGGCATATCTTCCAGCAGAAGGCAGGGACCTTGCTCTTAAACAGCTAAAGTTACCTTCCTACAACACCAGTGGTGTTCACCGCGATTGCCGACGGCACCAGTTTGAAGGTATGTTGCCAAGAAGCAAAGAGAAAAGCAACCAGCCCACTAAGAACATGAGAAAAACGAAAAGACTGAATGCGAGGACGAACTAAAAAAGGAAAACCATGCTCAAACCGTTTCGCCAACCTTCCCTCTGGAGAAAAACATTTAAAGTAGGATGAAAGCTGCAGAAATACCAGCCAACGGTTAGAAAGAAACAAAGAAGCTAGACAGCTCAGGGATTGACAAAGCGAAACACTGCCCAGTCAGGATAAAGAAAAATGCCACCGGCGTGCTAAAGTTTACCTCCTCAGCGCTTCTGGATCTTCGGGCTTGGCCGCCGAAACAAAGGAGCAGTAGTGCACCCATATGTCGACTGAGTGCGTCACGGCTTTCACAGCCCTCTCGTAAACCTCGATGGTCTTCTCGGGCGTTGCCAGCCGGTTCTCATGGTCCGCGTATTTTTTCCAGTAGCCATAGCACAGAGGAAACTCGGCCAGGAACGTATCATAGCACTGGCGAAACTTGACTATATCATCCTGGAAGAGAAAAGAAGAAACGAAAGCTTTAGAATTGAGAGACTCAAGAACTCCAAAAAAAGAAAAAAAAAAAAAAACGCACGAGCTTCTCAGTCTCTTGAATCAGCTGCGTCCATGAATTAAAGTCCGCTGGATTGGCATTCACGATGCCCCACAGCCTCTCTTCCTCGTTGCTTGGAGCTGGAAAAACCAATCCTCTCAGGCTAAAAGCTCTAAAAAAACCTGGAACACATACCTAGGACTTCCTCGCCGTTTTGATCCACAGCCACGCTCCGGTGATCATACTCCACGGCCTTGTCAGCGGCCGCGGCGCCATAATCCTGCATTCGAGTCCCAGCGTACTCCTGACCATCCATAGCCGAGCTTCTAGACGTAAGAACAAGCGAGCTCAATCAAGCGCGGCTAGGAATTCTCTCCAGAACTAGGACTCGCAGAAATCCACGCAATACCTGGAAATCCTAGAGCGCGCCGCCCGTCCCCAATGCTCTCATGCAGCGATTGCTCGATCCCAAACGCATAGCATTTTTATTTCTAGGGTTTGTTGGGCAGAAACGAAATGAACCGTTGGATTGCGATAACCATCCATAAGATTGAAGCAATCCCAACCGTTGGAATTTGACACCCAGTGTCGTCTACTACTAGTTCTGCTGTGACTGCTTCGTCTCTCTCCCCACCTTCCTGAGACACAGGAGAGAAACTGAGATGGAACAAAGATCCAGAGAGGGAGGAACGAAGTAAAAGAGAGAAATCACTAACCAGAGGCCGATGGTTGGGCCGACGATACTCTGGTTTGGGAGTGGCTGGCCAGCAACGAGTCCAGGATCACTAACCAGAGCAGCTGAGAGTGCAGAAAGTTTGGAGGCAGATGCTCAGTGATTGTCAAAATCGAGACGACAATCTCGAGGTGCTGCCACAAGTTATACAGAACCTTGTCGATCAGGTAAGTTTTGTCTACTGGTTAGCTCAGTGCAGCTCTGATCTCCTCTTCATCTTGCTTGTGTCAAATGGATCCTACCGCTAGGAAAGCAAATTAAAGCAGCACTACTGTAAAACGTACTGCTGTTATTCGTTTTCTGAGTTATGCCGCCAGCAACTACCTCCATTCTGATCACCTAAGGAATTGTTTAGTTCACATTCAAATAAAAGAAAAAATAACTTCACCTCAGTTCTCAAGCGTCCAGGCTTATGAGCATAAGTCCAAGCTTTGTTCCACGCTCTTGCTCTTAGTGGGGGCCGAGCACAGGTAATGGAGAAGGTAGTCGTTTTTGGAAGCGGCTGTTGCAAGTTGTTCCTGCAAGCTGGCAATGGATTTAAGCAGGGACTTGAGAGCAGGCATGAGTTCCCTGTTCTTCGACTGGATTGTTCTGCCATGCACAGTGCAAAGTTCCTGGAACAAATCCAACTTAGCACTGAAAACTGGACTCCTAACTTGATACATACCAGGCACCATCTAAGTAAGAACTCCAAATGAGGTGTCTTCTCCAGGTACTGCGCAAGTGCATCAATGAGTGTTCCAAGGTACGAAAGTGAGACGTTCGAGACAACATCACTAATCGCAGAGATATCTACGGCCTCGACGCATTTTTGAATCAACAGTGGCTCGTTCAGCCGGAGTGCTAACAACAATGCTCGTGAATAGCGCTTGCTTTCCAGTGCATCGTTGATTGCCTACACAAAAAGGCAACAACAAAAAAGCTTCACCCAGTGAGCTCCTAAACAACAATTGTACCTCCGGTGTGACATCCATATCGAGATCGGTGGGATCAAAGACAAGGTTGTCCATTGAGTAGATGAGCAGGCCTTCCGTTGTTGCAGCTGCCCAAGATCTGCCAGTTGGAGAGATTCTGAGACACTTGGTGCGTATAATTGGCCTCGCAGCATTGGTCTGTGCCCCTGGTAGTCCCTGCCCCAACTTGCCTCTAACTTGACCATCAACACCGGCCTCGTTGTCGCTGTCATAGTCATCGATCAGATCTATAGGACCTGCTGCAGTCATTCTCTTCGAGTTTAGAAAGTCGAGAACACCATCCAACGAATAGTTGTGAGATATCTGAAACCTTCGTAGCAAAACCTGCACAGACGATATGTCGTAAGCATGAAAGCCAAGCGAGCTTGTGAGTGATAAATACCTGGTCCGCGACGTCGTACATGCAAATGTACTTGCTGGTTCCTCCAGCAAGCAGTAGGCTCCCGTCGGCTGAGTAAGACATGGTCGTAAAGCATTTCCCCGAGCTCGAGTTAGCGGCCGTTCTTCTGTCGCTCATCAATCTCCCTCCTGCAACATCACGCCTGCCTTCTATCGTACCCATAAGCAAGCCGTCAATCGGGTCCCAGAAGTGGATCTGACCATCAAGTGTTGAGCAGGCCAGTTGCTTTCCGTCCGGACGGTAAACCACGGTGAGCACGTCATGCGTATGAGTGAAGGTTTCAACCCCACCCTTGCCTTCAAACACATCCCACAAGCGCACGGTTTTGTCCCATGACGAGGAAGCCAAGAATTCCTGTCAAGACGTGTTAGAAAGTGGAAAGCATTGTCGCGTAGGAGTACGCACGTCTGTAGGAGAAAAGGCCAAACCATGAACCGGTCCCTCGTGACCACTGAGGACGTCCACTAGCCGCGCTGTTTTCATGGACCAAACGTATATCTAGCAAGAGCAGTAAAGAAATGAATCGAGAAAAAGGAAAGCGAGAAGATACCTGGAATGTGTCGAGCGTCCCAGCACAGATAATCTCTCCACTTTGGTCTGCAGCCAATGACACAAACTGCGTGGGTGCTGGCGTGGTGAAGGTCCGGAAGTTTCGATAGCGCATCAGATCCCATGCACGTACAGTGCCATCGAGAGATGCGCTCAGCACGGCATTACTTCCGGCCAAGAACAACACTGCGGTCACTGCATTTGTGTGCTCGGCAAAAGTGACGAAACAGAATCCAGACGCAGCATTCCACAACTGCAACACACCACAAAGGCATAAGCGACGGCGCAAGAAGAGACTGATCACATCACAACCAGACCTTTACTTTGTTGTCATCAGCGCCGGTGGCAATCAGCTGCGAATCCGGTGAATATGCAACACAGTTGACGTCGAAGTAGTGACCTTGCTGCTTGAGTATATAAGTCTCTGAGCGCCAGTCCCACACCAGTAGCTGGCCCAGTTTTGCACAGCCGAAAGCTACCCAGTTTCCGGTCCTGTTGAACACTGCGGTGGTTATCTTCTCTTTGGAGATGGATAGCAGATGTATGCACGTAAAGTCGGGCATCTGGTAGATCCCAAACACTCCAGATGAGAACCCGGCAACCACGATGTTGAGGCCACTGTGGTAGTCGCACGCCGAGAGCCTTCCATGCTGGTGGAACAAGCGCTTCTTCACGAGCTCCCACTGGCCTTTATCGGGACGTAGAACAGGTAGCTTTCCCTCCTCCTTTCGAACAAGGCCATCGGATTCTTCCAAGCCCTCCTCCTCGAGAGCTGATTGGTAAACGTGTGAAACCGAGGAGTCAAGTGATCCAAGCAAATACCTTGCAAAGCTACGTCCTCCTTCTGGCGCTTCCTCGACTTTCCTTGATCGTCAGCGCCATCGAGCGCGGGAGCTGGCAGCTCTTGAGCCGGGTGGAACACCCAGTGACACAGCGCGCCATCCTTGGAGAAACTATAAGCGCCAATCCCGCCCTCGGTGCTCTCGGTGAAGAAGACGCCATTGACAACGTTGCGGTGCGCAGAGAGTACGACCGGCCTGTTGCTCTGAAGCGTGAAGATCCTCACCGCGAAGTCCTTGCAGCCGCAGATGATCCAATTGCCGTCGGGGCTCCAGCCGAGGCAAGTGATCGTGTCGTGGCTGCTGGAGAAAGTGTGGAGCAGCTGGAACGCCATGAACTCCTTGCGGCACCCGGGCGTCCTCCACACCTGGAGCAGCCTGCCCATGGCCACGGCGAAGAGCGATCCATCGGGGCTAAATCCGAGCGCCGTGACGGGCGCCTTGAAGGACATCCGGTGGAGGAGAATGCGGCGCGCAAGGCTGACGAGAATGCAGCGGCCGCTGGCGTCGATGGAGAGCAGCAGCGCGCCATTGGGGGAGACGGCAACCCTAGACACATCGCCGCCATTCTCCACAGGCAGCGTCCAGCACTCGGATTTGCGCAGCTCCGTGACAGAGATGCGATTGCCTACTGGCGACACCAGCGCGGCGCTCCCACCGGCAAAGGCGACATTGCCCCCACGATATGGGGCGCCCACGAGATTGCTAAACCTGTAAGCGTTCATCGGTATAAACCCTAAATCTTAGTCCCAGTTAAACCGTTGGATTGCAATAACTATCCATAAGATTAAAGAAAATCCCAACCGTTGGAATTTGACACCCAGCGTTCGTCTACTAACTCTCGTGACTATCGGCGCTCCTAGTTCTGCTGTGACTACTTCGTCTCCCTCTCCACCTTCCTGAGACACAGGAGAGAAACTGAGATGGAACAAAGATCCAGAGAGGCAGAAACGTAGTCAAAGAGAGAAATCACTAACCAGAGGGACTACCGTGTTCGCGGTATGGATCGGAGCTTCCGCTCGAGGTGCTGCAAACAATCTGTCAGGATTTGTGTTTTCTTAAATCCTTCCCGAACCTTCTTTGTCGCCCGCGATGAGAATGCCTTCGAAAGTCTCGATCAACAATGCTCTGTAAAGGCAAGTAGAAAGGTTTGCTTTGGTTCTGGATGTGATCACGTCAAAGGTTACCTTTGCAGGGAGTATAACCCCGTCGGGAAGGCTTGGAATATGAGGATGATTTGAGGGGCATATGTAGTTTACGCAGCTGTTGAGAATTATATGGAATTTCGTTTAGCTCCCTGGCAGTAAAAGCTTGCACTTTCACTTACAGAACGTTGTGTGGTACAGCAGCTCCTCGATTCAAAGTGAGGAATCCATTTAAGCCTTCGCTGGAATCATCCACGACCACGATTTTGAAATGAGCACGTCAATTTCCTTCATAGGTACCTGATTATTGGATTTATTGCGCAGATTCCCTCCGTGTCCTCGACGCAAGCGTATATGTATGTAGCAAGAGGTTGGTGACAGCAGAGGAACAATAACTCCTGGTCTATGCTGTTTCTTTTGATCTCTGACGCCTGTGACAGCGAATATGAGAACAAACGCTACATATCGAAGTCCAGAGAACTCACCGAAAGCGTCCCTTCTAGCTTTCTCGTTTCTACAAGAAGACGCTCTACGTTGATGAATGGTAGTTTTACAACACCCTGCAAAAGTAAGAGCTCAACCAGATGCAAAACTGTAATGAGATCGTTGTCATACCTGCCATGGGTATTGTTTTCCGTTCATATCAACAACAAATTCTGCACATAGTAATTGCAGATCAGGTGAAATCGTTAAGTTCATAGTCTGCTTTACCTTCAGGATAAAAATCTATCAAAGGTGACGCTGGATTTGTCATCAACAACCGGTAATACTCAGGTAAAGCCCATGCACTGTATCCGAGGAAACAACGAAGCATAAAGCAGTAAGCTAGAAATAAGATGTTACCTTGATGCGGGTAAAACGCCCATAAGCATATCAAAAGGTTTCAATGGCTTGCCAGCCTCAAAACAGACTTCTATAGCACCAAGTCCTGCTAAATCCGATGCAAAAGGAGCATAATGGTAGGGGTAGTACCTGCACGTCGTCACCATCATTTTACTTGCATGTTAGAAAATGGCAAAGGAATTACGTACAAGCATGAGAACGATTCGACTTTTGCTACACTTCCAACACAGGATTAAAAATCACCATTGCCACGAGCTCACTCCTCTGTAATAATAATGCAATATCCAGCATAATCCCTCGGTGTACTTTTGCGCCTGAACACGGAAAGCGCAAAATGAGAGTTCTCTAAGATACTACTAAAACTGTCTTACTACCAGGCCCTTTTTAAGCTCCTCAGAGTACTCAGAGCCAAACTTCTCTTCGTAGTACGTTGCCTTCCAGCTCTGCAAATGACGAGTTTAGTTTTTAATGAATAAAACCTTTGGATGCATACACTTACAGCTAAGTCCGCAGGACAAGTGACGCTTGAAACGTTCTTCTTCTCGTCAAGCGGGAAAAATGTTGGACAACCCCGAGATTATAATTGAAAAAAAAAACCATTACTTTCTGAAACTGCTTTTGGATTATACCGTCCTCAATCTGGCCGAGCATCTCAAGAAAGTACTCAAGGCTTCTCAAGTTCACCTGAAATTTTTATCGCTTTCAATACAACTTAAATAGAGAACGAACAGGCACTCACCTCGCCATTTTCCGTCAAATACCCGTTCATATTAGTGAATTCTCGCTTGTAAACACTTAAAAGCATGCCGATTGCTCCCTGACAGATTTGTAAAGTAGCAAGTAAGAAAAATTTCTAATTTCAGACGAGAAAACCACTTACTTGTCGAATGTCTAGTGTTGGTAAACCCGGAAGAAAATCGTTGCCAACAAAAAAACAAATGAAAACAAAATCGTCCACTATGCGCTCAAAATCTGCATCTGCTATCTTGAGTTCAAGTTCCAAATACTCTCGAAGGAGCCAAATGTGAAGGAACTGTGCAGAACAAATGAACACAACGCCGCAAAGTACAGTGCTTACTTGATACGAAACATCTTCCGTCTCTTCAAGTGTACTTTTCTGTGTTCCATCACAATGTTTAGCAATATGTCCAACTTCGCCACAGAGGTAGCACTTTCTAGGACATGGCACCTTAAAATCGAGTATCAGAAGAGATTAGACGTTTAGCTAAAGTGTACCTCGCGTAAAATAGAGAAGTGCACTTCATGTGTAGCAAGCGCTAGCATAATCAAGTCAGCGTCCTAAAAGGCCCCAGCGACAGATACTTAGAAACTCTAAAAGAAGCACGGCATAAAATCCATTCTCGCAAAGACGATACCAGGCCATAGAGGCAGTGCCGAGTGTTTGGGTCGAAGCCAGGAAGATTTCTTTGCATGCGAATGAAATTAAATATTTTATGTTCGCCTTCACCCGGAACATTAGCATCGGATAATATAACCTGTAGAAAGACAAAATATTAAAAACTAGAAAAGGGAAAAGAAGAAAAATAACTTACTTTCATCCTTTGCCAACCAGGACTTTCGCTTAAACGCAGTTGCACATATTGACTCAATGCATCAGAAAGTAAAGCCATGAATTCCGTCCCAGGTGTGATAACATTCGAATCTGACGTTTCTCCTCTCTTCTGGACCTGGAAATGGTAACAGCTGAGCTCCAACAAATGAAACAGGAAACACAAAAACTTCTTACCTCAAGAGCTTCTTTTGCAGCTCTAAACCGCCTCGATCGTTGTTGATTCATCTTAGCCCGCGGAGCAACACCATCTAAAAGTTTTATTTTTCCATCAATGAACAAACCAGAAAAGGAGAATACAAAAAGGAAAGAAACCGATACCAATTGCCATGTACAAAAGTTTCCTGGGCCGAACGATTGCGACAAGACGATCGATGCACTGGAAAATGCAATGGAACACTTCATCATACGACAAAGGAGCTGGCTGCGCTCGCAAGAAAGAGTTGAAATAATCCACTAGCTACAATCAATTCATCATCCTTACCTTGCCTTCTGGATGAAAACACAAATGCACGATCCCATTCATGTCAAGATAGAAATTGTCATACTCCAATCCGCCAGAAAGGGCCGCCAAATCATCCTCCACAGCATCGGCAACGATCAAGGGATAGCGCCGCGTGAGCCAGCGATATAATGCGGGCACTCCCATCGATCGATCCGATCGATCCCTCCTTAAAACCCTAAAATATCTTTCTCAAGCGGCAAAAAGGAGCAAACGACGAATGGCATATTCTCCTTGCCAGGGCAGAATATGCTCCTCTTGCTCTTGGCGAGCAAACGAGCAGCAGCGTCGTCACAGCTCCAGCGCCGGGGTCTCCATTCCCTCGCAGCGTTCGCGGGATCGAGCGAGGATGATCCCGAGAGGATCTCCAGCAAGAGCTACGCCCGCAAATTCGCCGACCTCGACGGCGTGTCGCGAGCCCTAAGCGCGGGCGCATCCTACAGCTCTCTCCTTCAAGAATGCGGCCATCGCCGATCGCTCGCCCAGGGTAAGCTCGTCCACTCCCACATCCTCGAGCAGCGCCGGATGCACATCTACGTCGAGAATCTGCTCGTCCAGATGTATGGCAAATGCGGCAGCGTCGCCGATGCTCTCGCGGTTTTCCACGCGATTGAGCATCCAAACTCGGTCTCCTGGACGCTCATCGTCGCGGCATTTGCCCGGAATGGGCATTACCGGGAGGCGCTTGGCTACTACCGGAGGATGGTGCTGGAAGGATTGAGGCCGGATGGAGCGATGTTTGTGGTGGCGATCGGGGTGTGCTCCAGCTCCAAAGATCTCAAGCAAGGCCAGCTCCTCCACGCGATGATCCTCGAGACCCAGCTGCTGGAGTTTGATATCATCCTCGGCACCGCGCTCATCACCATGTATGCCAGGTGCCGGGATCTCGAGCTCGCCCGGAAGACCTTCGATGAGATGGGAAAGAAAACTTTGGTCACCTGGAACGCACTGATCGCTGGCTACTCGCGAAACGGGGATCACAGGGGCGCTCTCAAGATCTACCAGGACATGGTTTCCAAGTCTGTCAAGCCGGACAAGCCAACTTTCCTGGCTGTTCTCGACGCTTGCTCGAAGCTTGGATCCCTTTCGGAGTTGCGGATGCTTCATCTCGACATACTCGAGCAAAAGATGGCGGCCGACTTGATCATCGGGACTACTCTCGTCAGCGCCTATGGGAAGTGCCGGAGCCTCAAGGATGCCGAGGCGGCCTTCAGCTCGCTCGCCACGAAGAACGTCGTGTCGTGGAACGCGATGATCTCGGCCTACTGCCACAATGGCCGTCCCGAGAAATCGCTCGAGCTCTTCCACGAGATGGAGCCGCAAGAGGTGAAGCGGGACGCTACCACTTTCATGTCCGTGCTCGAAGCTTGCGCCGCCATGAAGTCGCTCCAGCAGGGAAGGCTCGTCCACGCAGCGCTCGAGGGCAGCGGCTTTGATCTAAACTCTTTCGTCGCCGGCACGGTGGTGAACATGTACGCGAAGTGTGGGAGCTTGCAAGACGCCCGCCGAGCGTTCGACAAGATGGCGACCAAGACGACGTGTGCATGGACAACGATGATCACGGCCTATGCACAGCTCGGGTCTCCCAGGAAAGCTCTCGAGCTATACCACGCCATGGAGCCCGAAGGAATGAAGCCGGATGCAATCACCTTCTCCAGTGCTTTGTACGCGTGCTCGGTCGTCGGAGACATCTCTCAAGGCAGGGAAATCGAGGCTCGCACGGTAGCAAGCGGCTATGCCTCGGACTCGATTGTCCAGAATGCGCTCATCAACATGTACTCCAAGTGTGGAAGCTTGGAGTCGGCCAGGAAAGTTTTCGATCGGCTCAAGAACAGGGACGTGATAGCCTGGAACACGATGATCTCCGGGTATGCCAAGCAGGGTGCCGCTACACAGGCTCTCGAGCTTTTCCAACGGATGGGACCGAACGATCCAAAGCCAAACGTGGTGACTTTCATTGGCCTCCTCACGGCTTGCACCAACTTGGAGGACTTGGAGCAGGGAAGAGCCATCCACAGGAAAGTGAAAGAGCACGGCTACGAGTCGGACTTGGTGATCGGCAACGTCCTTCTCAACATGTATACCAAGTGTAGCAGCAGCTTGGAGGAGGCAAGGCAGGTCTTTGAGAGATTGCGTACGAGGGACGTGATAACTTGGAACATACTGATCGTGGCATACGTGCAGTATGGACAGGCCAAGGACGCTCTCGACATCTTCAAGCAAATGCAGCTAGAAAACGTCGCTCCAAACGAGATCACGCTCAGCAACGTCCTCAGCGCCTGTGCTGTTCTCGGTGCCAAGCGTCAAGGCAAGGCAGTCCACGCGCTCATCGCTTCCGGAAGGTGCAAGGCCGACGTCGTCCTGGAGAACTCGCTCATGAACATGTATAACCGGTGCGGCAGCCTCGACGATACAGTGGGGGTCTTCGCGGCTATTCGTGACAAGAGCTTGGTATCCTGGAGCACTCTCATTGCCGCCTATGCTCAGCACGGTCACTCGAGGACGGGGCTGGAGCACTTCTGGGAGCTCTTACAGGAAGGCTTGGCAGCCGACGACGTGACTATGGTGAGCACTCTCTCGGCCTGCAGCCATGGAGGGATGCTCAAGGAAGGCGTCCAGAGTTTCCTCTCCATGGTCGGGGACCACGGCCTCGCTCCAGACTACCGGCACTTTCTCTGCATGGTGGACCTCCTGAGCCGAGCAGGGAGGCTGGAGGCCGCCGAGAACCTCATCCACGACATGCCGTTCTTGCCGGACGCGGTTGCCTGGACGAGCCTACTAAGCGGCTGCAAGCTCCACAACGACACGAAGCGAGCGGCTCGAGTAGCGGACAAGCTCTTCGAGCTGGAGTCGGAGGACGAGCACTCGACCGTGACGCTTCTGTCCAACGTTTACGCGGAGGCTGGGAGATGGGACGACGTTCGAAAGACGAGGAACCGGAGAGCCGCTAGGAAGAACCCAGGCTGCAGTTATATCGAGATCAACGACACGGTGCACGAGTTTGTGGCCGGGGACAAGTCTCATCCCGAGGAGGAGCTCATCGCCGCGGAGATAAAGAGGCTGAGCAAGCAGATGAAGGACGCTGGCTACGTCCCCGATATGAGGATGGTACTGCACAACGTCAAGGAGGAAGAGAAGGAGCAAATGCTGTGCTACCACAGCGAGAAGCTGGCGATTGCTTACGGCTTGATATCCACACCGCCTGGGACGCCGCTCCACATCGTCAAGAACTTGAGAGCTTGTGTCGACTGTCACGCGGCCGCCAAGTTCATCTCCAGGATCGTGGGCCGGAAAATCGTGGTCAGGGACTCCACTCGCTTTCATCACTTCGAGAACGGTTCATGCTCTTGCAAAGACTATTGGTGAGGTAAACTGGTTTTCGTTAGTTTGTTTCTCGGTCCTGACGTTTTAGTACGCTTGACAGGTGATGGAGTTTCTTTTCTTTTTATCGCCTGTGACCAGCCATAGCTCTTCGTCTGGAGGTAAAAAATTTCAGTCATTCATTGCTCTTAGTTTTTGATTCGATTCCATGTTTCTGACTTCGAAACTTATTACTCCTGACAGTTATTTCTATATTGCTTTCAAGTTTCGGAAGAACCGATCATTCCCTCGCTTTGGCGCTCTCTGCAAGAAGGTAAAATGGCTCGTTTATATTTCGCAGCTGTTTTAAATCACCATGTTCTTCTCCAGATGCTTGAAACACAGGACATAACAACTTCAAATAACTGGACTCGTTCGTCCCAAAGTAACTATCACATAGCCATTTACTCTCTCTCTCTCTCTCTCTTTCTCACATAGGATTCTTTTTTCTTCCTTGACAGGCACTGAAGGGAATTCATTCACACCGCCACAACAACATGATTTGAATGAACCCGGATGAGATTTCAATGAGCCACGACGACCATATTGTTTGGGAATTCATATCAAAGCACTGCGTTGGAAGTGGTAATCTAATACAAAGACTTTTAACAAGGAGGGAGGCACGGCACATCCATCGAAATCGTGGGAGTTTAGTTGTCAATCAAGATCATGGAGTTGAACTGGATGTCAAACCATTCAAATCGTTTTTCAAGACCAAATGGTAAGATCCACGACTCTTTAACTTAGCCGTTACAGGAGCCGATCAATCCAATCCATCCAATCGGTCTATTTGCTCTCGATGTTTACAACTTACAAGAACTAGCAAACTAGCATCTCCTTGAGAACCCAACCGGCGAGACCACGAATCAAGTTACAGAAAGAAGAGAGAGAGAGAGAGAGAGAGAGAGAGAGAAAAGTATTGGCCGCTCGCTCGGGGTGGAGTTTTGATCATTGCCCCACTCATCAAACAAATTCTATAGTAAACAAGCCAAAGTCCATGGTATCTGATTTGATAGCTCATATGCACGGCGGGATTTTTTCTCGGCAATGTATATTGATGTAAGTTTGCACATGCTCAGATGTTGTGTGCCACCTTTACGAGTTTAATATGTGCACCAAACTTTCTAGTGCTGCCCACATGCGCAAACGCAGGCCCCCATGCTTACTCTAATCGGATAATCACAGGGCCAAGGAATTTCACTTCCAAGGTGGTGGCCTCATGTCTAGAATATTGTTATTAACTCCTGAAATATCAATCAAATTCAATGCTCCTCACATGAGGAATGACAAACAAGCAGTAACCAAAAAAAAAAAGTCTTCTGCCCAAAAAACTGAGCAAAAAAAAAAATTAAACCAAGCTTGCTTTGCTTGGTTGCTTGCAAACAATTTTTGCAAATTGGAGGAACTGCAATGCTCTGCAGCTTTGATTTGAAAGGAACATTCATTCCCTTGGCCAATTGATTATAGTGGTGATCCATGCCGGAATATGCCACCATGGGGTACCATGCATATTCGGCCATGAGTACGGGATCATAGTGGCTGATGATGATGACGACGACGACGACGACGAGAGAACAAAAGACCCTAGGTACGGTGGGAGTATTGTGTAGAGCTCACGTATTCCTCCATTCCATCCATCCATTTGATGATATCTCGAGAGTAGGCCTAGAGTGGTCGCGCGAGCCGGGAGTGGTCTATTTGAATCAATGCGTGTTCTTGGTGCTGGATTCTTCTTCTCTCTCGGATCTTCTCATTTGAATCTTCGTTTCTATGCTCGATTCACCGCTGAAGTTTCGTAG